CTGGACTCAACTTTCCGTCCCTGTTCCTAGCATATCTTTGTTTGGCTTTGTCATAGCTGCAATGGAAAAAAATGTTTGGTATGATGACTTCAATCTTCTAGGAAAGCAAGTAGATGGACCACAAACCACTCTATCAATAATAATAAATCACTCATGTCAGGGAGGGGAAAATAGAGGGGGAGGATAATCCATATTCCATTGACATGATAAAGAACAGCGATTTTCCTGAAGTTGTTACGTGTTGAATGAAACTGCTACAGGGTCATATCATATCATACAAACACGAATTCCAAAACCAGCCTTGACTACTAATGAATAGTGAGTGTGGCATGTAAATTCTACATAGAGGAAAAAAAAATTCTTCCATCATTATGTACTGCAGAATAGGAGATATCGACAAGTTGATTTGGTCCTGACTAAGAAAAAGAAGTTAGAGTTAGATATGTTTTTCTCCCCAAGTTTGAGTGAGTAGGAGAGAGAGATTTTCAAACTTACTGAAACTAGTTAAAGTTTAACTGAATAGGATGCATATATGCACAAACATGAGTCAGTTATCCTATATAATATCATTCTCTTCTAGTTAGCATTAGATATAAAAATGATAGGTTAAAAGTTAATTTTATACAATTAAAGTCTCACGACCGAATTTGGTACTTACAAAAAGAAATATAAACCCCATGAAATAGTTGACCCCAGAACCCCAGGAAGAAAGCCTGCATATAATCCTCTTAAACCCTGCAAGATAAAGCATGACATATAAGTAATACATTCATCGTATAACATACACAAAGTACCTAAAGAAAAAGTTTCTCTCCTTTTGCAATTTGCAACAGGTGTGAATTTGTCAACACCAATCCCATCAATAAAATACAAGAGGCAACCATTCATCATTTCCAGGCAAGAACCCTTCCTTGAAACAGACAATCCAAAATGCTTTTACCACTGTTGCACACATATATTGGATACTTTTATATGTTGTAGCTGAGCCCTTCCATGTCTTATAATTATAACTTCTATAATTTGAAAAAACCACATGTAAATGTGGTGTCATTTTTTATATGTCTATATTTGTCACCAAAATTTGGTTTGCATGGACCTCAATACTAGCGGAATGCCATATGATCTCAGGCCTTAATCTTATTAATGTTTCTTCACTCTTCATAAATACCAGAAACCATAGTGCTGATTTTATCACATTTATCAGATTTATTTGTGCTCAACATCAGCCATACTATCTAGGGAGTAAAGGTGTCATGCAATTCTTATTCTATATATTTCTAACAGCTTTATCTATGCCTAGAAGGTTCAGCAATCAAGATAATTCCCTTTCTCAAGGCCACACGAAAATCCTAACAAGTAGAATAAACAGCACAAAATTGCAGAATTTAATTAATCAAAAAGCAAAATTGATAATTGAAGCCTTAATCGACAAAAACACCGGCGTAGGTCAATTGACAAATCACAAACCTCGGAGCGAGCAATGGTGAAAATGGCGTGAGCAGTGTTCTTGTAAATAGGAAGGTGAGAGACTCGACCATCGTTAACTGCAGAAACAAACAACGCTTCTAAGGATCGAAGGCATGAAAAATCAGAAATATTCGTTTACATGTGAAGAGAGAGAACCTTGGAACCTAGTTCGGACAACATCGAGTGGGTGCATAACGGCGACGGTGGTGAATCCGGCGGCGGCGCCAGCGGCGGCGTTTTCCCACTGCCATTGGTCGCGCTTGGGCGCTTCCGTTGACATATGGGGAAACTTGAGATTCAGAGTAATCGTTTTATGCGTCATTCGATTCAAAGTGTGGCTGCCACACCCAAGTGTGGTTCGTTATGTTTGTTAGGACTTGGGAGCTTCTCTCTTTCACGTGCAAAGTGCAAAGCACAAAGCTTGTTTGGTGAGAGATTTGTGGGTTTGAATACTTCGTACTTCGTAATACGTTCCTCCCAAGTTTATGAGTAAAAACACACGACACTCACCCAGAATAATAATACTCTATTACTCTCCTAACAAGTGTCGTTTTTGTATTTGAAAAAAAAAGTTATATATTTTTATTTTTTTAAAATAAAATTCATTTTATTAAATTACTAATTTTTAATTTATTTATTAATTTTTCTTGATTTATATACAATAACTCGGGCGAAAGAATATTTCATATCAACTTGAAAATAAAGTCGCGTGTGACCCTCGTGTTTATTATTGAAATAAGATTCGTTATCCAGTAAATATTCATTCAAAATAATGTGTCAGATAATGCTAACATTTCCCTTAAATTAAAGGTGCAATAATGAGTCAGATAAACTGGCTTCATTAATTCTTAAATTCAATCTGCAATTTATTTCCCTTGCCCTAAGTTTGATGCCATGAGGATAGTGCAGATGTTAATGTGCTTTTGTGTGATACCATTAACCTTCATTCTATAAAATGTTAATACACTCCACCCATAAAAATTACAATTTAAAATTTGCTAAGTAATAAGATGTGATCATGTTAGAGATAAATATATTTTTTAATTGTTAAAATATTCTAAAATATTTCATTGTATTGTAAAGTATCTTCTAGGATTAATTACCATATATATATATATATATATATATATATATATA